GGAGGTCTGATATTTGCTTGTCTGTTATTTTGCTAGATAACAATATGATGAATGCATCAGAAATGTCTTTCTGTGCTTAGTTTTTAGAAATTACTTTCTTTGAGCTTCAGTATACTTAGAGTTGTAAGGTATGAAAGTTGACATAAATATGTAAAATTCTCATTGAGTCACTATACTTGCTTTACTTTTTCTTATTAAAACCTAAAATTCTGGCACACTCTCTAATATTCTATCACTTGCGTCTCTTGGGAAGAAATACGAGATACAGTGTAAGCCTCGGCGTCCTTGTGTCTCCAGAGGGTCGGCTGGTGCTGGTCTGCTGTGAGAGAAGAGCTATCAGCTTAATTCCAGAGCTGCAGTGTGGAAGGCTAGAACTTGTCTCTTGGCTACAGCTGTGCAGAGGCACATCTGGGTGAGACCAGAGTTTTCCACCCTGTCTGCTTCCAGCTGCCCCCACCCGTTGCCATAGTAATCACGTGCACCTGTGAGTTACACTATTCACTCTCTATTGAGATTGCTGTCACTAAGTAAAAACAACAGCAAAATTGGGTTCCTTGGTAAAAAGCAAGTAGGATTTTGAATTTTGTGACAAAGAATGTGAGACAATACAAGCAGACACTAATGTTAATCACTTGTGATATAACTTTGAACAGAAGCCTTTAAATATATACTTATCTCCCTCTCTCTATCTGTCTAGATATTAGATATCTATATGTCTGTCTATCTAGATATATAAATATATATGTGTATAAAGCAATCCTTTCCCTTTACACCCTAAATGGAACACATATGTGACATGGGAGCACGTGCACAGGCGCGCGCGCACACACACACACACACACACACACACCCCTCAAGGAACATTGTAGAAGGAGTGGAAAGAATGTAAGAGCTGGGAGACAAAGGGGTGCTGTGAAAATGCTGTCTTCTAGACAAGACATGACCATGTGTTCATTAGTTCACGGCAGCCATGGTTCCTGCCCAAGATCAAGCCAAGATTAGCCAATACTCCAACAGGCAACAATAATTAGACTCAGTGGCCACCAAAAAAGGAGAGAGGATATAAAGGGAAAAGTCGCTGGAGGAGTCTGGAAAGGTGTAAGGTGAGGTTGGGGTAGATATGATCAAAGTACATTGTCTGCATAAATGAAGTTATCGAAGAATAAATAAAAAACACAATTCTTATTTTTTAAAGAACTTCAGCTAGAGGTTCTACCAGGTATTTAATCAGCCTTTTCTCTGATGTTCCTAATTTATAGATCCTTTATTTTTATATATGTGTGTGTGCATGTGTGTGTGTGTGAAGTACGAGCAGAGGGAGGCGAGGGCACACTCACTCTGTAACCAGGCTGGCATGTATTTTATAATCCTCTGTCTCAGCCTCTTGTGGATTACAGGAAAGTTGCATCTCTGCCTGATTGCTTTAACTCTTTGAGTACATTTTTGTCTAAAGTATGAGAGGCCAAAGTTTATTATTTCATAAGTAAAAATTCAATTGTCCCACAAATATTATTGTTATTATTATTTACAGTTTATTCACTTTGTATCCCTGCTGTAGCCCCCTCCCTCAACTCCTCCCAGTCCTACCACCCCTCCCCTAGTCCACTTATAGGAAAGGACCTCTTCCCCTACTATCTGACCCTAGCATATCAGGTCTGATCAGGACTGCCTTGATCCTCTTCCTCTGTGAGCTGGCTAGGTTGCCCCATCAGGGGGAAGTGATAAAAGAGAGGGCACCCGAGTTCACGTCAGAGGCAGCCCCTGCTCCCCTTACTCAGGAACCCACATGGAGACTGAGCTGCCTATGGGCTACACATGAGCAGGGGTTCTAGGTCCTCTCCATGCATGGTCCTTGGTTGGAGTATCAATCTCTGCAGGGACTCCTGGGCCCAGATTTGTTGGCTTTGTTGGTCTCCTTGTGGAGCTCCTGTCCCCTCTGGGTCCTTCTATCCCCTGCTTCTTCCATAAAACTCCCTACACTATGCCCAAAGTTTGGCTGTGAGTCTCTGCATCTGCTCTGATCCCATGCTGGGTGGAGTCTTTCAGAGGACATCTATACTAGGCTCCTGTCCTGTTCCCTCTCTTCCACAGCTTCTGGTGTCTATCCTGCTTCCCTTCTAAATGAGAATTAATCATCCTCTCTAGGGTCCTCCTTGTTGTTTAGCTTCTGTAGATTTTAGTATGTTTATCTTATATTATATGGTTAATATCCACTTATAAGTGAGTATATACCATGAATGTCTATCATATCTTCTGTGAATAGTGATACTTTGGCTTTTTCCTTTCCAATTTGTATCCCCTTTAGTTGTATTATTGCTCTAGCTAAGACTTCAGTACTATGTTGAAGAAATACAAAGAGAGTGGGCAGCCTTGACTTATCCCTGATTTCACTGGGATTGATTTAAGTTTCTCTCCATTTAGTTTGATGTTGGCTATAGGCTTGCTGTATATTGCCTTTACTATGTTTAGGTATGTGCCTTGTATCCCTGATCTCTCCAAGACTTTAAATATGAATGGGTGTTGGATTTTGTCAAATGCTTTTTTTTTTTTTTTTTTTTTTTTGCATCTAAGGAGATGATCATGTGGTTTTTTTTTCCCAGTTTGCTTATGTGGTGGATTCCATTGATAGATTGTCATATATTGAACCACCCCTGCATGCCTGGGATGAAGCCTACTTGGTCATGGTGGATGATATCTTTGATATGTTCTTGGATTTGGTTTGCAAGTAATTTATTGAGTATTTTTGTGTCAATGTCCATAGGAGAGATTGGCCTAAAATTCTTTCTTTGTTGGGTCTTTGTGTGGTTTAGATATCAAGGTGACTGTGGCCTCATAGAATGAGTTTATCAATGTTTCTTCTGTTTCTATCTTGTGAAATAGTTTGAAGAGTATTGGAATTAGCTCTTCTTTGAAGGTCTGGTAGAATTCTGTGCTGAAACCATCTGGCTCTGGGCCTTTTTTGAATGGGAGACTTGATGACAGCTTCTATTTCCTTGGAGGATATAGAACTGTTTAATTTAGTTACCTGATCTTGATTTAGCTTTGGTAAGTGGAATCTATCAAGAAAATTATCAATTTCATTTAGATTTTCAAATTTTGTGGCATATAGGCTTTTGAAGAAGACCTAATGATCCTTTGAACTTCCTCAGTGTCTGTTTTCTTTTCGTTTCTGATTTTGTTGATTTGGATAGTGTCTCTCTGCCTTTTAGTTAGTTTGGCTAAGGATTTGTCTATCTTGTTCATTTTCTCAAAGAACCAGCTCTTGGTTTCATTGATCCTTTGAATTGTTTTCTTTGTTTCTAGTTTTTTTTATTCCAGCCCTGAGTTTGATTATTTCTAGCTGTCTACTCCTCTGCTTGTGTGTCTGCTTTTTTTTCCCCCCTAGGGCTTTCAAGTGTGACATTAAGTTGCTTGTATGAGATGTTTCAAATTTCTTTATGAAGGCACTTAGTGTACCGATTTCATTGTGTTGCATAAGTTTGGATAAATTGTGCCTTCATTGTTATTGAATTCTAGGAAGCATTGAATTTCTTTATTTCTTCCCTGACCCAGCTGTCATTGAGTAGAGAATTGTTCAGTTTCCATGCATGTGTAGGCTTTTTGCTATTTCTGTTGTTGAGGTTTCCAAGCAAACAGACCCAAGAAGTAATCTGGAGTAGCCATCCTAATATCTAATGAAATAGACCAAAATTAATCAAAAGAGATGAAGAGGGACACTTCATTCTCATCAAAGGAAAAATCTGCCAAGAGGACATCAGAATCCTAAACATCTATGCCCCAAAGGGCTCCTGCATTCATAAAAGAAACATTACTAAAACTTAAATCACACACCTATTCCAATGTGGCAGACTTCCAAAATCTACTCTCAACAATGGACAGATCATTGAGACAGAAGCTAAATAGAGGAATAATGGTACTTACAGAGGTCTTAAATCAAATGGACCTAATAGATGTTTACAGAACTTTTTTCACCCAAACACAAAAGAATAAACCTTCTTCTCAGCATCTCACGGAACCTTCTCCAAAACTGACCATACAGTTGGGCACAAAGTGAGCCTCAACAGATGCGAGAAGATTGAAATAACCTCGCATCCTATCAGCCCATAACCATTGTTGAAGGCACTATTCTTTCCCCAGCAGTTACTAGTGCTGGGTTCTTATCGAACCAACTAGCTGTAAAAGTTTGGGTTTTGTCTGCGTCAAAACCTCGATGCCTGCCCTTAGTGACCCGCATCCTCCAGCAAGACAATGCCTGAACCTCAGCTCAGACTTGAGGCTCAAGGGTTTGAAGTACAATGCTTACCATTATGACGTCTTCTGCTCTTATAGACACATTGTGGGTTAACTACAAAAAAAAACAAAGATCTTCAATATTTTCCTAACATTGGTCCTCAAGCAAGCATCTAAGCAGGACATCTTTGGATATACAAAGTTAGGGCATTTGGTTATAAAAGTTGCTGACTTGAATTTAGCTACAAATCATTCAATAAAATTTGGATTGGGATTAGAACAGAATTTCTAAAATTTTCCTAAACATACCTCTGCTGTTGGAGTAAATATTTATGTGAAGTGGCTCAGCATTGATAATTATCAAGTCAAACTATCAATCAACCCTGAAAAATGTTGAAAATGTTCTATGTCCTGTGTATTGATATTCAACCTCAAGTAACTCTTTATGTAAAAATAAGCATGTACATCTCTCTCTTTAGTATTCAATATTTAAAAATATTTAATAAATAGTAAAGTTACATATATATCAAAGAATAATTTTAAATAAATTTCTTTAGGACTTATTATTGGCAAAAGTTTGATTTGTATACCTAGTTTATATACCCAGAGTCACATTTAAAAGATAAAAAAGAAGACACTAATTTGGGAGAGGATAGGAGTAGATTGGGAGGAGTTAGGGAAAATGGCAGATGTTGAACAGGATTGAAGAACATGTATGAGATTCTCAAGAGATTAATAAATTGTTATATTTTAATTCTTATCTGGTGAAGAAAGACACAAGTGACAGAAGTTCAAGAAGCTTTGCTTGAGATGCCCTGGGTCCTTCTATTGGAGAACAGGAGCAAAAAGGTCTGGCCTCAGGTAAATTCCTGTTATTAGGATGCTAATGCTTGTAGACCCAAATTAGTTTTGGCAGGGTCTGAATGCAGTGTGTAAAGGCCTCACAGCTCTCCTACATCCCTGCACATGAGACAGCAGGATACATTTGGGGGAACAAGTGACCTCCCAAATCCACACCCAAAGCCAGGGTAAACCCAAGAGTTTTCTCTTGCTTCCAAGTCCAACTCCTTGACAGCTTCTCTTACCCGGGGTTGGGGTGGGGGAGCTAACTCTCCACCCTACCCTGCTTCCTTGGAACTCTTCGGAAGCAAGAAACAGACTCTGCCTTAAAGATGAAAACAGTAAGATTTGGGGTAGAGCCTGCGAGAAGCCACACCAGCTTTCTGAGAATAAACGAGAGCACCCTGACCTGTTTTCTGTACATTGAGAGCACACCCACCTGCACACTGATACACGAATGAGAAAATGCTTCCAGGTTAAGGCCGACAGTCCATCACAAAGCTATGCACACCAATTGTTTGTAAGTGTCTTTCTCTGATTGCTGGGAATTATTTGTGGCATTTAGCATTATTACATTCAAATTTTAAAGCTGTTAAATTTTGTTGTTAACAAAACTAAAGTAAACTACTTTGTCATGTAACTAAAGTCTATGAAGATATTTATAAAAGTCTATTTATGTACAATAGAAAATCATACTGTAGTGTAAAATAGTTATTTGATAGTCATTTTCAAGTCTTTATAAACATTCACATTTTCTATTCTTTTCTCATATATTACATCTCAACTGCAGTTTCCTCTACTATCCCTCCAGCCCTTCCACCTCCCACATCCTTTCTCCCTCAGGAACACCACCTCCTCCTCCTCTCAGAAAAGAGTAGGCCTCCCAGAGACATTAACCAAACTCAACATATCACAGTAAGACCAGGCACACACCATCACATCAAGGCTGAGGCAACCCAGTAGGAGAAGAGTCCCACGGTCCGGCAAAGAGTCAGAGACAGCCCCCTTCCACTGTTGGGAATCCCACAAGAATACCAGGCTCCTCAGCCATAAGATCTATGCAGAGGACCTTCGCCCTTAATGAGGGTTTATTTATAAGACCTTTATATTTGATGGGTTCTGGAGCCATATGTAGTTATCTTTGTTAGGAAAGAAAGCAGTGATGGTTTCATTCTGCTTCTCTATCCCTGTTAAATTATTGATTATAATCACAACTGGGAAAATGGCTCAGTCAATAAAGTGCCCTCCTTGAACACATGAGGGCTTGAATTCTATCTGCAGAACCCACATGTAAAATAACGTTAGGTTGATCTATAGAGACAGCTCATCAGCAGAGCATGATCTCTGTTCTTCCCGAGCACCTGGCTTTGGTTCCCAGTATTCACTTCAAATAACTCACAATTGCCTGTAACTCCAGATCCAGGTTGCTTGACACCTTCTTCTGGACTCTGTGGGACCTACACATATGTGGAGGGAGAGGGGCATGGAGAGAGAGAGAGAGAGAGAGAGAGAGAGAGAGAGAGAGAAGGGAGGGAGGGAGGGAGGGAGGGAGAGAGACAAAGAAGGAGGAAACAGAGAAATGTGACTCATTGTCCAGCCAGCTTAACTTACTACACAGGTTCCAAGCCAATTAGAAACCTTGCCTCAAAAACAAAACACCAAAAAAACATGGTTATGGAGGCTGAGAACCAACAGTCAAATTTGTCTCTAGCTTCTGCATGCACACATGCACACATGCATTTTTTAAAAACCACAAATCAACACTACATGACACACTTGGGCCATTCTGGAAACATAGAAGTCTAAGTTTTCAAAGCAAATTACAAATTACATGACAAACGATTGTGCTTGTGACCTTCCATCCCGCGTTCACATCTGCAGCCGCCTGTGGATGTGACCGCGCCGGTACTGCACGGGCAGCTTAGAGAGTGACGGCGCCAGCCCCTGGGTAGAAATGTTGACCACTGGGGTCCAGTATCCCCAACATGATGCAAGCTCCTCGGTTCCTGATTTCTGTGTGTTTCCTTAAGGTTCACTTTGTTAAAGCCTTGTGGCTTTTATTCCACAAGTCATACCTGTCATCTTTTCGGTCATAAAAATACATAGAATTATAGTTTCAGCAAAATGTGTCTTCAAGCTACAGGCTAAGATGAAATTGTTCTTTAGTTACCACAGTTAGGGACAGTCATGGCCTTTACTACACAGAAATTCTGCCTCATCATTTTCAAACTGTCACATGCCGTTGTGTGTCGTGACAACTGCAGAGCATGTTTTTCTGAACTTTGAAGCGTATTGTAAACTGCACACTGCACACGTGTGAAGGGCACGCCTCGAGGGCTTTGTACTTAGAAGCTCCCAGAAGTCCAGATGTAGCTGGCAGACATTCAGTGATCTGTCGGCATCATCTGCTCCCCCTCCACTTGTAGCCACGTGGAGTTCCACTCACCAACAATTCTGCACGAGCGTGAATAACAGTTCTGACCCCAGATAATCATATTGCCTTCAGAACCACTAAGACCGCGAATTGGAGACTCTTCGGCCTCAAGTTGCTGACTCAGAAATATTACAATGAATTAAATAGCACTTTCCACCTTGTAATATATGTCCACTCTTGACCCGCTGGGTATATGTATAATTTATATTGTAAATTTATAATTTATATTTAATATATGTATAATATGCATAATTCATATTTATATTGTTGCTGATGTTTCAAGATAAAAGTTCGGAAGACACTTTCTTTGCTGCACTTTCTGCCTTCAGCAGTAGCCAGATGGGGTATGGCTTTATTAAAATTACCAAGGCCACCACCATCCAAACGCTCTGCCACCCTTCCCCACTGTAAGTATCATGTGTAATCAGATGTGATAGAGCCCATGGTCCTTGCTTCGGATGATTTTCTTGGCTTTCTCAGCAGATGACATGGATTCTTAATTTTGCTTGTAGTCAATTGCATTTATATGTCTGGACAGGAAAGGGGATGTTTTAAAGCCATTTAAGCAGGTCTTGGGTTTGAGGTCACAGATATGTGGTAACTCCCACACCAGGCTGCAAACATCTGGTGTCCCAGATGGAAGTAATAACAACTCTTGTTATTTTCATAACTGCATTATAGAAGATGTCTGCTGGCTTCCTCCTCAGTGAGTTTAATTCACACCAATATTTTAAGGAAGATTAGAAAAGGGTGGGGGATGAAAGAAAACATCTCTGACAGCACAGAAAGTCCAGTTTTCATGTGTCCCTCATACAAAAGATTCAGACGTAAATTACAGTGTGTAGCAGATCCTGTAGGCTTATTTACAAATCAAATCAGCCATGTATTATGTTTTGTGCTGAAGAGCAACACACACCACAAACATGTATATTTTAGCCCGATTTTAGAGTTTATGTTTATCCTATAAAGTAAGCTTCACTACTGATTCTTGTCTTTTAATAAATCCAGGTAAAAACCCGTCCCGTAGTTTTCCATGTTACCATTTACCCTCACTTGGAACACTGGCCTTAAGAGACACCGCATCTTCACCAGCAGCAGCAACTGGACCAAGGAGCTAAGGTGACACCCACAACCATATATTGCTTGTTTTGCTGGAGTTGTTTGGCCTCCAGGAAGTAGTAAAAAAGTCAGAGACTCGGCCTCTATCTGAAAGGGTCCCTGAGAGACTGAGCACAGCACCACAGGCCCAGAACGGACAGTGCAGAGTCATGCCGCTGCTGCTTCCCTGTGAAGAGGGGACGGAGGGCAGTGTCCTAACTAACAAAGGACTGGCAGTACAACAGTCCTCAGGAGCAGGCACTAAACACAAGGGTGCTGGGGCGGGTGAGATGCTGCCGAGCTGCTTGACCTGCTTTTGAGCCTTAGATCTCACTTGGTAAAAGGAGAGAATCAACTTCAGAGAGCTTCCTTCTGAGTACATGCAGATGCATACACCCACAAATACATACATGATCAACATTATGCTACAATATAAGCAAGATCCCTAGGACTAGGCTGCTTTTGTTCAGTTTTGGGTATTGAACCCAAGGCTTCCCACATTTTAAACAAGTGTTCTACCATTGAGCTCTGGCTCCAGCTAGGACCAGGCATTTTGTCTCCAAGGGCAACTTGGTGGAGTCTCTCTCTCCTTCTGACTTTTACGTGGGTTATGGAAATGGAACTCAAGTCACAAGTTTGTGTAGGAAGCACTTTAACCAAATGGGGCATGCCACTGACCCGCAAAACCCTCTTTAAAAAGCCAAGTGTGTGACATGCACTTGTAACTCCAGTTTTGGAGAGGTAGAGATAGGCAGAGCACTAAGGCTCGGAATCCAACGTTTGTGTGAAAGACACTGTCTAAAAATTAGTGAGTATTGTCATGAGAATCCTGGAGTTGTAGTTTCTTTAAATACACAGAAATATTGCAAGAATATGCTTTTACTTTCATCCCCGGTGCGAGGCATGAGGCTGCTTCACAGCAGGTGAGGATGATTTGCCTCATGCTCTAGCTGAGGGTTTGCCAGCTGCAGATAGTTTCTGTGATTGTGTGATGTTTGGAATTCTGGGGACTTTTCAGAGGGCATACAAATGCTAGGGCCCCAAGAATCAGGGTAGGTTGATAGCTGCTGATGGTTGCTGTTGGTTATTGTTAGTTGCTGTTGGTTGTGGTTTGTTAAGTAATTATGTTCAAAAAAGAAACAACAATATGGTGAAGACCAAACTCACCCCAAAAAACTCAAGGACCTAATCACCAGGACGTTGTCTAACAATAATGTTGCCCTGTTCTGAGCCCTAGCTTTATTCAGGGATCTTTCTTTTCCTCTCTATCATTTTTCCCTCTCATATCTAGTGTCAGAGGTTAGAGGGGAAGAAGGAAAGGGATGGAGAAGTGGAAGAAAGAACCCACAGAGTAGCGAACAGTGGCTACAGGACAGAACTAGGGAGCTTACTTACTGGCTTGAGCACTTGTTTCTGTGGCAGAGGACCTGGGTTCAGTTCCCAGCACCCGCATGGGGGCTTACAACACCCACGACTCCAGTGCCATATGATCTGACACTCTCTTCTGGCTTATAGAGGCGCCAGGCACACACAGAGTGCACATTTAGGCATGCAGACAAAACACTCATATGCTTAAAATTTTTTAAATTAATAAAGAAAAATAAATATTTTAAGTGGCTGGTGTCTGGGCAACAACACTCACCTTCTGGCTCCCGTATAAAGCGTAGTGAGTGACTCTCAGTGGACATGCTGGCGGCTACCCCGCTGGGTGCTGATGTGTGGGACCACACGTCGCCTCTGTTGGCCTGACAACCACCCAGATGGACCACTCCAGCCACCCAAGGAAAGAATATTACAGACAGCTGGCATTCCTCGGTCTGCGCCTGAGGCTCCTCCAGACACTGCTGTGAAAGGCCTGAGAAGGAAACCCAGGCCATTAAAAGAACTTTCTAGAAGGGAACTGCAGGAGTAGAGAAGGCACTCAGAAGGGACCTATCATGTACCTAGGGTGCCAACACACAATGCTTTAATTTTGCAATGTCCTTTGAAACATGCAAATAATTCATTGAAATTTGGAAATATTCACTTATCCATTATTATTATAAAACAGATATAATGGCTTTCCCAAGAATTTATAAGGGGTAAGTATGAAATTTATTGGGATATCAAGAGGAGGCCATAATAATTTGGATCTGAAAGGACTCCCGAAGATCCCATGCTAAAGTCTTGGTCACCAGCCTGTGGCACTATTGGAAGATGAAGCAACCTAAGGTAAGAGGACCAGCCACCAAGAAGATAATTATAGAGGTGCTTAAAAAAAAAACAAACTGAAAATAGACCTACCATGTGACCCAGATTTAATACCTGAGCATTTCCCCAAAAGACTCCAAATCAAAATATCTCAGAGATACTTTTATAACTGTTTTTACTACAGTGCCATTCACAATAGCTAAGTTATAGAACCAATCTGGGTGTCCTTCAACAGAGAAAGGGATAAAGAATGTGTGCGTATCCATAATGGCTATTTTTCAACCACAAATAAGAATGAAGTTATGTTGTTTTTTATGAAGATTTATACAACTAGAGATGATCATATTAAGTGAATTAGTCTCAGAAGCACACATATTACATACTTTAATTTAGCAAACACTTACATAGCAGTAGCTAGTGCTAGGTATTTCTTTACACGATTCTTAGAAAATCCTACCTTATCTACCAGACATCAGAATCCATGAATATAAAAAAGTCACACATAATAGTCTTCCATTAGAATTTTAAATCTCTACAGTATCTTTATTTGGAGGGTCAACACAGTCTGGATTTGGTGTCTCTCAGAGTAAAGTTGTGTATTTATAATTTTCCTTTCAGTATGGAAGTAGAACATGTCTAGGTTTTTTTAAAAAAAAAAAAACAAAAAAACAGAAGCATATAAAGAAGGTAATAAAAATCACCCTCCACAGAGGTGATCGTTGTGTTGAAAACACAGACGTCTTTGGAAAGCGATGAAGTAAGTAGCTTTAATGTCTGCTCCTTCTGCCAGATAACACCCAAGGTCCAGCTACTTCCCACTCTATTTTCCTGTTTGCCTGCATCTGAAATAAGCTCATTTGCTTGGTTTTTATTTGTGCTCTGCCTCTTATTACTAGGACCAAACCCTTCTTTGCATCACCAGTTCAGGCACATAGTTGATGCTCAATAAATCTTTCATAAATGAGTTTTCGTCCTTTCTCTGACGTGTTTGCTCTCTGTGGCCAGTTCAGCATGATAACACATGTACACTGTACCTTTGCTTATAGGTGTTAGATCAGTAACTATTGTGTTCGTTGTTACTTAGCTCAACACTGAAAAGAGGTAAAATTTTCTCTATATTTTAGTGACCAATATAACTTCCTAATTCTATACAGATTAAAGTAGTTATAATAATGTTGCAAAAAGCTTTCAAAATGCAAGTGAGGTCTTTCTTGTTTCTAACTTAATGGATTTTTTTCTTTCCCTCCTGAGACCCTCATGGGTGGAAGTTTGGCAGTACACGTTCTACATGAGAACATATTTAACTGGGTCAACAGAAAATGACATCTCCAAATATCCTATAGAGCCAGTTTCACTTTTACTCCAAATGCTTGGCACACCATTACTTGCTATGAAAATTTCACCATGTTTTAAGGAAATAGAAACAGGACATCTAGCCAGGTGGTTGTGACACACATTTTTAATCCTAGCACTCAGGAGGCAGAGGCAGGTAGATTTCTGTGAGTTTAAGGGCAGTCTGGTTTACGCAGCTAATTCCAGGATAGCCAGGGAAACACAAAGAAACCATATCTCAAAAAAAATTTAAAAAAAGAAAAAAGAAAAGAAGAGCAAGAACAAGAAGAAAGGGAGGGAAGAAGAGAGAGAGAGAAGAAATGGAGTATCTGTTGGACAGTAATTGTCTGAAAACATTTCTAATCTCAGCCCTAGGACATGCTAAGATTTTGTTTGGCTTTTTCATTATATTACATCTCTTTGCATATATTACCACAATGTAGCCATGAAGTAGATAACAAGGACACATTATTGCTCTTGTACTAAAGGATTGGAAACAGCTCTATGAAGTACTTGAGCATCTCTTGCTTGCCCAGTTCTAGACCAACTAAAGGATCTTAAAGTTTGGGGAAGGGTAAAGCTTAAAAATGCTTCCTGCAATTAAAAAGAAAATAAAGCAAACTAGTGTGGCTCTTATTTTTTGTAGTTATCAACATTTCAGGTAGGAGAGTACTGGCCTAGTTTGATTTTCTGTTGTTCTGACAAACCTCTCTGACCATTAAAAACTCATGGAAGGAAAGGATCTCTTCCAACTTATACTTCCAGGTCACAGTCCATCAGTGAGAGAAGGGAGGACAGGAGCTCAGGGCAGGAACTGGACCCAAGAACTGAAGTAAGAAGCATGAAGAAATGCTACCTGCTGTCTTACTCTCTGGTTCTCTGCTCAGCTTGTACCTGCCTGGGGATGGTACCGCCCACAATGGTCTAGGCCCTCTGATCTCTATCATTAATCAAGACAGTTCTTCACAGACATAGCCACAGGCCAATCTAATTTGCGCAACCCCCAACTCCCTACGATGGCCCTGGTCCATGTCTCAGGCAAGCCTCACTGTGGAGAAGACACCATGGGAGGTGGGGCTAGCCAGGGAGGAAGCTTCCAGTTACTTTAGGAGAAAGATGTGAGTCCTAGAAACAAAGAAGTCTGAGTCTTTTCAGACAAATATCCAGATTTTAGTATCATTCTTTGGAAAGCCCTTTTCTCCATTGAATTGATTTGCTCCAAATCTGGTCAGTATCAACTGAGCACATAACTGTGAGTCTACTTCTGGCTCTTTTTGGGGGCACAGTTGATTTTTACCTAAGGATATCACTGTCTTATTATAGCTCTATGGAAAGTCATGAAATTACAAAGTGTGAGTCCTCTAAGTCTGACCTAATATTTTCAAGATTGCTCTAGTAGGCGTGTCTAACTCATAGCTCTCAGACTGCTTGTGAGTAAAGAGAGCTATGAATAGGTCCAATACAAAGTCAGACTTATTTTTTACAATTATTGGCAAATCAGTCACACAGTTTTTAGCATAAGCTTTAAAAATAACCATGTAGCGCCGTAGTGCCAAAAGATGGGCTTCCTGCTGGGCATTTAAGGTCCTCTGCTTTTCTGTATGGGTGCCAGGGTTATATATCAATGTCTTCAAAAAGGCCCGGTAAGCTTTTCAATGTAGCCCAGAACAGCCTTGAACTTTTGATCCTTCTGCCTCAGCCTCCTGAGTGCTGGGATTACAGCACTCACTACCATACCCAGCTTTGCTTACTTTCACATCAAATTTTAGGGTCAATTTGAGAAGATCCCATCTTAATAATACTAAGTCTTCTAACTCAGAGGTCAGCAAGCTGTCACTTATAGGCAAAATGTAGCTTAATTTTATATTCCCCTGAGCTAATAAGGGCTTTTTACATTTTTAAAGAGTGATGAAAACCAAACAAAGAAGAAATGTGCTGCTAAGAGCAATATAGGCCAAAAGTCAACATTGCCCACTCTCCGGCCTCTTAGAGAAAGCCACCACCTTCTGCTCTGACGTTGAAGTGTAATACATCTCTCCATCCATTTGCTATTCCAATTTCCCTTTTTTGTCATTTTATACCTTTCAGTTTATGGGTCTTATAGCCTGCGTTAAATTAATGTTCAAGATTCATTATCATAGATGATGCTGTGAAGATTATTGCTGGGAATAGTGGGAACAGGAACAATGACAGGCTCGTTTGTTTTCTAACAACTCAAATGACATGGTAAGAATATTAAGGGATATTTTAATAACAGTATGGAAACTGGGTGAGGAGCAGGGAAAACAGTGGGAGTCTCCCCGATTTAAATTGAGAGGTGCTAGACAAATGGGTTAGAGAAGTGGGAGGGGAAAAAAGGTGGGTTTTTTTGTTTTTTTTTTTTTTTTTTTCTGATGTATTTCAAAGGAAGGAAAGGCAGGATTGGTAATGGATTGGATAAAGAGGATGAAAGGATGGCAGAGTCAAAGACAACTTCAAGGTCTCTAGCCTGTGATGTTAAATGGCTCGTGCATGGTGATTTTTATTTGGTTTACTTTATCATCTGGACACACAAATGGGATTTCCCCACATCCAGCTATTGTAGCTCCCTACACTCAGATTTACTATTGAAATTACCTTCTATCTTGTCACACCCTGTTAGTGAACAGGTAGTATTTTGATGGATGTTACATGATCAGAGAAATCCAGGTCTTGGTGGCATGTGGAACACAGCTAGCTCCCTTTAAATCCTCACTTTATTTAATCATCTCTTAACATTTGAAATCTTTCTGTCTATACAATTATCTCTTAGAACATAATTTTTACAACATTGTTTGTTTGGAAATTATTATCCCTCTACAAAATTTTATTTTATTTATGACATTTAAATTTGTGATTTCTCCCCCCTTTTTCTATCCTTTGGCTTTCTTTTGAAGTCTATTAAACCTCCTTAAAAATATTTATGTGTGTTTAGTTAACAAAGCGCCTGCAAGTCGAATCCATGCTGGGAAAAGGTTCAGGTAAGCTCTCTATATAAGCTCACAGACAATTGTGTAAATCTTCAACCATTAAAGAGAAAGGAGAAAAAAGCCACCCTCATTACACTGCTGTCATTTGCTCTTCATCTCCTGTCCTCTTTAGCAGCATTAAGATGGGATGTAAATTTGCCAGTTAATGCTGTTAGAAAATGGATGGTTCAAGAAGGGCAGGAATTAGAGATCAGTATTAGGTGCAGATAAGCTCCTTTGCCTCCGCAGTGGCGGCTGTTTAACATTCATGGGAAAATCATCATCAAACAGCGTTATCACAGCTCTGTTGATGGCTGAGGAACTTCATCACTATGATAATTTTTTTATAGCTGTGAGCCAAAAAGCTCCCTTTTATTTCTGCTGTCTTGAGCTGTGATAGGAGCTTGTTTATATGGGGAGAATACAGCGGGCCTTGGGCTCCGCAGCCGGGTTTGATTTCTTCTTCCCTCCCCTCTGCACCCTGCTCATCTGTGTTGCACTAAACAGCCCTACTGATAAAAATATATACATATAGAGGAAAATGGAAGTCCTCCAACAATCCTTCAAAGCAGAACAGATATTTTTATGATCAGTAATTCAAAGTTTGACAAGTGATGCCATTCTGTAATGAAACTGTCATCCATTTTATTGTGGGCAAAATGTTATGTCTGTAAATGGAACACAGAGGGGCTGAGGGCAGGCCAAAGGCAGGGAAAATAATGCCTGACTTTACATACCTGGAAAGCAACTGTTTCCCACAAGGTCCCCCCCCCCTTCCCATGGAATCTATTT